TAAAGAATAATGGTCATACCGGCTTCCTGTGGAAAAATTGTTGAATTAATGGGTTTCCCACGAATAAGCTTCCTAGCTTCTTTTAATTTTAATCTACGCCAGGACTCAACTATCTCTGTTCAACAGGCGAATCGTCGATTAGAGTGCAAAATAGCATATAGGATTTCACAGCATGAAGAGATGAAAGACTTGCTACATGTTGAGAGATACCAAATACTTTCTTTTTCCTGAGTGTATTCAATTGAGATTTCTAAAGATTATTTAAGACTTCGGAAATCATGGTATATTAATTCAGACTTTTCAAGACTTTTAAAAGTCTTGAAGTATTCATTTGAAATTTTAAAGTCTTACAAAATCTTGAGGGATTTAACGTACTTGAGACTAGGATTTGTTAAGACTTTTTAAGATTTGCTGGGGTTTCTAAAGAAAAAAACATAAACGAAAATTTACTCTAAATCCCACCTCTAGACTTAAGGGGTGTATTCAATTGGGATTTCTAAAAACTTTTTAAGACTATAAAAATTCTGGTGTATTCACTTTAGATTTGTTAAGACTTTTAAAGGTCTTACAAAATTCTGAGGTATTTAAATTATTTGACACTGTGATTTGTTAAGACATTTTCAGTTTTGGTGGGATTTCTAGAAAATCTTATACAAAATCCCACTTGAAATCCCACCTCCAGACATAAGATTTCAAAACGTTTCTTCAAAATTTGAAAATCTTAAAAAGTCTTAAAATGTCACCTAAAATCCTAATTGAATACATTAATTTATTTCACAGGATTTTTCTACAATCTGAAAAACTTAAAAAATCTTAAATCTAAAAAAATCCCTAGTCTCACTCGAAATCCTAAACGAATACACCTTTTGGGACTATTTGGTTCCGTATGGAAAATCATCCACCAATGGTCAAACTCCACCACGTCCACAATGTGTTTACAAGAGGTCCCAGAAGAATGTTGGGTCCACAAAAAATAGAAGGATTGCATAGAAAATTAGAAATACAAATGTGTGCAACCTTCAAATGCACACTATCTAATGGACAACCTTCCATCATGCTATTTAAATGCTTATTCTTATGACTGCTAATGTTCTTTTCCCAAATCATCCAATTTTCACCCTCGCCTACTCAAGATGCATCCAATGTATGAGGCAACATTCCAATATATCTCTATACAGTCTAAGTCCCCTTCTGAATGCAGCAAGTCATATTCCTCTGGAAATATCTCAATCCTTCTTAAAAATGTCTCCATGCACTTCTTAACAAGTCGTGCAATATAATCATATAGATATAATATATTTTTTTTTTTCCTTTCATTTTTTATATCTTTTCCTTCTTTGTGTCGTTACAGGGTCAGTCTCATTACTTTGATAGGAAACACTAATGCAAGATTTTTTCCCGCATCAAGTGGAACATTGATTTGATAGATATACTCTGGAAAGCATAAATTTTGTGACATAAATTTCTTTGGAAGAAACTAAGGATAAAACATCGATTTATTGATACTATCCTAAGATAAACTTCTGTTATCTATTTAATTCTTCCACAGTTAATGGAAGCCATCTTTGTATCCAAAAAAATTATACACCATGAAATAAGTTTACCTCCCGACTCATTTTATGTAAATCTAAGAGACCCGACCCTCCAAGTTGTCCCATATATATCTAGAGCCTCAACGGCAAAACCCAACAACTCAGGTTTTACTAAACAGGACAAAAGGCTAATGAGACTTAATATCAAAATAAAAACTTTAGGAACCTCGTTGCTCCATGGCATTTGCGGCAGCATCCAAGCTCCTCAACCTTTCGAGAATCTCGTCCGTCAACTTCCGTTTCAAATTTTGCGGCAATTCCAAAACCCTTTCTTCACTCATTAATCTTTTCTTTAGTTGTGCCACCTTCAACAGACAATGAGTTACACTATCAACTAGTGACAAGATGCCACAGCCATCAAAAACATATCCGCACACAGTATAAAATAAACTGAATTAATAAACATGCCAAAAGGGACTATTTCTCACCAGCTTGATAAGTTCCTTTGGTTCTGATGCTTTTCGTATTTCATTTGCTTCTTCCATTTTTTTTAACTGATTTGTTGTGTACGCAAATGCTGTCCGAAGTAGAATGCATAGATTAGCTAACATACCAGCATAGCTAGGCAAATTGTACTAATGGCGAACAAAACAGGTTTCTTCTTAGAATCCAAAATAGAATGAAAAATCTAAACACGTAAACTTTAGATATTAACCAGCTAACAAAGATCTGGTTTTTACATTCTAATCGAAAATACAGAGCAATGCACACATTTACGCTCCACGAAATAACAAATTCGCCAAAATGGTCAGTATATTTAACAAATCAATCAAGCCACAAGGCTAACAGAAGCAAGAATAACATTGATTCCTAAACATCAAACCCCAGGTTCCCTAACCAAGACCCAAAATTTCCTTCAAAAACAACAAATCCATCATAAACAAAACCAGAAAACACGCAAAGCTCCATATGGGTTCTCAAAAAAAAATGTCAATAACAAAGTGCAATCAAGAGACCAAAAAGTATGGAACAAGCTCTTACAGGTTTGAGAATCACTGAAGGAATACGTGTAGATCGAAGTGTAGAGAGAGTGGAGCACAAATAGAGCAACAACAATGTTGATGCAACAAGCAACTATGATCGTCCTCTTGTACGAAAACCTTCCATTATGCACCCACTCCACTCTCGCCATCGCCCACACTCTCTCTCTCTCTCTCCCCCCTTCTTGTTCAGCTTCTTCTCCATTCCATACTTTCTCTCTCTAGAATCTGGGAAGCCGGAATTCTTCTTCCGGAGATCTTTGTGCTCCGGCGGCAAATTGATCGAAAACGCCGATCGATCGAATGGCAATGGCACTTTCTTTTTGCAGATTTTTGGATTGATCGGATGAAGAATGTGTACAGTGAGGAAGATGACCAATCAGAAGAGAATATTATTGTACCTTTTTCGCCATTTTTATTTTCTGGTGCTGTTTTGCTAATTTTGCTCCCAATTTCGAATTTAGGTATTCAGTCGGTGAGTAATCACAAAGTGATGTTTTTCTGTGAACAATAATTGGGGAAAGATGAGCTGGGAATAACTAACGTGCGCGGAGGGGAGGCCCACTATGTATGTACTAACGTGTGCCAATGGTTGTTCCTCACTTTATTACTATGCCTTAATTAAGGACGGTTTCCACTTTAAAGGTAACTAGTATTTTATCACGTGCATTTGCACAGATATAAAATACGCTTTTGTTTGTATTTATTAATTAGACATGTACTTTTATCTTTTTTTTTCCCAAAACGATAGATGGTATTATATAACTCACAACGCGAACATAGTTCGAATACAAGGAGAAACAATCCGAAATAAAAAACTGAGAGACCTGCTAAAAGCAGGCCTAGAACCTCAAGAAAAACTAAACCGCAGGAGAAAAAGGAAACAAGAACAATCCCCACCACTGCTAAAAGCCTAGCAAGAGATCGAACTAAATAACAAAAGACAAAAAACCAAAAGAAGATCCAAACTAACTAAGGCAAAGAAGAAGAAGCAAAACAGAAATCAGACCACTCTGACCAAGCAATCTGAGGAAGCTTATGATCTGGAATCAAAGACTTCTGAAAGATCCATAAATTTCTCGACTTCCAAAGTCACCAAATCATGTAGGTAGTGAGTTGAATGCGAGCTTCAGCAACTTCAGAACAGTCAAGAGTACACAGCTGATACCACCAAGATTTAAAGGACTGTGTGAAGTTCTGTAAACCATCCCAACAAACTTGACTGAATTTCCAAACATTAACAGCTCTTCTGCAAGTAAAAAAGATGTGCTCCAGAGTCTCAGCTTCCTCTCCACACATAGAGCAAGTAGGGTCAACTTCAAGACCCCTCTTCTTAAGGTTCACAGCAACTGAGATGGAACCAGTGATACATCTCCAGAGAAACAGTTTGATCTTTCTTGGTGTTTTAATCTTCCACATCCTGAGTTTGGTAGATTGATTGATGGAAGAGCTGCTGCTGCACTCAGGGAGGTCAGCCAATAGAGCCTTGGTTCTGCAAAGATGCTTATAAGTACCAGAAACTGAGTAATTTCCTTTCTGGTCAAGACCCCAGTAAACTCTATCAGATCTGTGAGGATTAAGAGATGAGATATTGAGAATGGCTTGACTGTCTGTGCTATTAAAAACTTGTTTCACTAACCATTCATTCCAGTGAAAACCATCACTATGCATAAGACCAGCAACCCAAATGAGATGATTCCTAGCAATGGGAAGGAGAGAAGGGAGAGGCTTACCCAAGTTAGGAACCCAGTTCAGATCATCAATTCTAGTGCCTACTCCATTTCTGATTTCAATTTTAAGCCATTTTGCAAAGAAAGGCATCATGGCCATCCAGCAATTCCACATCCAAGAACCACTTTGAGATTTAGTAGCATGCACAATAGAAGAATGAAGAAAGTACCTGTCCTTAAGAAGTTTACTGACTAGAAGGTCTGGATTTGAGACAATCCTCCATAATTGCTTACATATCATGGCTTTGTTAAAAAGTTGCAGATCATGAAAATCCAGGCCATTGCAGTCCCTGGGAAGAGTAAGCAAACTCCATCTTTTCCAGTGAATTCCTTGAGATTGCTCAGAGTTAGATTGCCACCAAAATTGAGCACAGAGGGATTCAATTTCCATACAGATAGAAGCAGGCAAAGTAAAACAGGACATAGAATATACAAGGAGGGCTTGTATGACAGCTTTTAAAAGTACTTCTTTCCCTGCAGAACTTAGCAATTTAGATTTCCAACTGGTAAGCTTGTTCTTCACAGAGATCAGCAAATATTCAAAAACCACCCTTTTGGATTTACCAATACCAAGAGGAAGCCCAAGATATCTAGTGGATCTGTGGGCTGTGATCCCATTCAAGGTTCTACAGATAGCTGATTGAAGATTTTGAGGAGTATTCCTACTAAAAAAAATAGCAGATTTTTGAAGATTAACTGTCTGACCTGAAAAGAGTCTATACTGCTCCAAAATATTCATAAGGACTCCAGCCTGGTCCACACCAGCTTTGCAGAAAAAGAGGGAATCGTCTGCAAATAAGAGATGAGAGAGCAAAGGGCCATTCCTAGACAGCTTCATTCCTCGAAGGCTACCAGATTCAGTAGCTTTAATGATAAGCACAGAAAGCAGTTCAACCACTATTATAAACAAATAGGGGGACAGAGGGTCCCCCTGTCTTATACCACGAGAAGGGGAAACAAAACCAGAGGTAGTACCATTGACTTTGAAGGAGAAAGAGGTGGAGGAAATGCATGCCATAATAAGCTTGACAAAGTCCAGATGAAACCCCATTTGAATCATGATTCTTTTCAGACAATCCCATTCCACACGATCAAAAGCTTTAACTAGGTCCAATTTCAAAGCCATAAAGTAATTTGGACCTGAAAAATGCCTATTAAGGAAATGAAAGGCCTCCTGAGCTATGATCACATTGTCAGAAATATGCCTGCCCTCAATAAATGCAGCCTGATGCTCACTAATGCAGAATTTGAGACAGCTTTTAAGTCTTTGAGCCAGCAGTTTTGAAATAATCTTGTAAAGCACACTACACAGGCTTATGGGCCGAAATTGACTCAAAGACTGAGGGAAATCACATTTGGGAATTAAAGACACTAATGTGTGATTCCAGTATTTAAGGATCATACCAGATTGGAAAAAGCTTGAGACTGCCCTCAGAATATCTGCCTTAATCAGGTCCAAAGAATGTTGATAAAATCTAGCAGTCATGCCATCCTCCCCTGGAGATTTGTCAGGCTCAAGACTGAATAAAACACCTCTGATCTCAGCCTCATCCACTTGTCTGAGAAGGGATTGATTCATCTCATCAGAGATACAAGGAGAAATGAGAGGGAGTAAAGTGTCACCTCCCCAGCTGCCCTCAGTAGAGAAAAGGGATTTGTAGAAATCAGATATATGAGATTCAATTTCCTTCTGAGATGAAAACACAGTGCCCTGAGAGGACACTAATCTTGTTATGGCATTGAGCTTCCTTCTTTGCAGGGTATATGCATGGATAAAACGGGTGTTAGCATCTCCTTCTCTTAGCCACTTGTGCTTTGCCTTTTGTTGCCAGTAGAGCTCTTCCTGGAAATGAGCTTTATTCAACTCCCTTTTAGTATTAATCCATTCTTCCCATTTATCCCCAGCTTTAATTGCATTCAGAGTCTCCAGTTTTTTAGTAAGCTCTTCCATTTGTTGTTGGTGCTGAGTTTGAAAATTTGAACTCCAGATGAGCAAAGCTATCCTGGTATTTTTTATTTTCTCCTTAATTTGGAAGAAAGGAGTGCCTTCCACAGGGATTTGCCAAGCACTAGCCACCACCTCAGAATATCCCTCTTTATCTTTTGTCAAAATGGAAAGAAGTTTTGTTTCTTTGCCTTTTAAGCCCCATATCCAGAAGAAGAACTAAGTGGTCTGAGGCACTTCTGATAACATTGTGCACAGTAGCATTTGGGTAAGCCTGAGACCAATTAAAAGAGCCAAAAGCTCTGTCCAACTTCTCCTCCACCAGATCAGGAGCTGCTCGGTTGTTGCACCAAGTGAAAGGATATCCTTCAAATTTAATCTCAGACATTTCCATGGCATTGATGAAATTCCGGAAGCCAAGAAAGCTTTTTTCATTTCTGAGAAGGCCTCCTGCCTTATCACTTGCAGAGATAATATCATTCCAATCCCCCAGAGAGAACCAAGTGTGACCCCAAGACTGTTTGTCAATAATTAGCTCCTCCCATTGGTTCTCTCTGATTGTTCTGCAAGGGTTACAATAAACAAAGACTCCCCAATGAGGGGTCTCAGAATTAATCTGAAAGAGAATAGCTATATAGAAATCCCTACACTTAACATTATGAACTATAACATTAGAAGCCCAACAAAGAACCAAACCACCACTAAGACCCACAGGATCTACCAAAGCTAACCTATTATCAAAACCCAATTTATTACAGACAGATTTAACAAAGGCTTTTGGTTTTTTAGTTTCAGACAAGAACAGAAAATTTGGGTGGTGAGTTTTTAATAACTCTCTGATTTGGGAAATTGTAGAGGGCCCACCCAGCCCTCTACAATTCCACACCATAGCTAACATTTATCAGGTTGGTGCCACTCCAGGCTGGCAGCCCCCACCATTTCAGACTTGGACTTGTATTTTTTAGAATGCACCTGAGAGAGTAGAAGATCATCAGAAGATGGATCTTCTGGAATACTGTCATCTCTAGTTCTTTTCCCCATCCATAATTCATCATTGAGAGTTGTAGGCTCAGAAGCTCTCTGCAATCTGCCCTTACTACTTCCCACTCTTTTCCATGTTTTAAGTGGAGGGATGTTGTGAGCCATTTGCAATTCCTGAAGAGGAGCTGATGTTTCATTGGAGATGGCATTCTCCACTTCCATACCTGCAGATTCTACAATTTGGAGGTTGTTCTCCATTATGATAGTTTTCTCACGCAGAGATTGAGAGGCAGAGATGGGAGAAGTAGCTACAACTGATTTAGCTGGTGAGAGAGTGGCTTTATGGCTTTGAACAATCTGATTACTGCTGGAAGGAATACTTGATGAGATATCTTGAGCTGCAGTAGTATATTCAGCTGTTGAAGGGGACTCTCTTGGAGGAGAGGATCTTGTGTCTGAGAAATTTCCAGCCGACCACCTTTGTCCATCAGCCGCC